ATATCTTCTTCATTGTCATTACGACGTTCTCTAACCCGTACTAGTTGCTTTTGTTGAGCTCTACGGTAAATTTCACGAATTGTTGTATGACTCGGATGTCTCCGGTCGGAATATCGATTTCGATAAAGAGCAGCAGCTTGTCGGTAATTACGCCTACATTCACCAAGAATCAATAAAATATCAACCCTTTCAGCCGCTGGGTAATCAGCCATAGTGAAAATTTTGATTATAACAAAGTAAAAAAAAACGAGATAATTTTTCTGCGACTATTAAATTTAAGAAGAAAACAATGTTAAACAAAACAAAAGAAATTTAATTAGTTTAACTATTCAATAAGTAGTGCTATATTAAATATAAACGGTATGTAACAATAAGCAAGGGTCAAAGTCAATATAAAAAATTATTTTTAACTGAAAAAATTATCTACTTCAATAATAAATAGGGGACACATTTATAATGGAGAATCAGAGAATTAATTATTTTAATTAATAAATTGTACAGAGACGTCGGCATGAAAAAAATACAGTTTTTTGAGTATTTTACCTCTAATTGACCTTCTCAGGTCACTAATACAAACTTGAAATACCATTTTGGATATAATTTTTCCCGCTCTACACGATTCCGGGGTCAAAAATAGGGGTTCCCATTAAAAAAAGCACTTTGACCTTCAGATGACCTCGAAAAACGTATAAAAGGTCAAAGTTGATGGTAGCATTTGGTGGCCTCCTCTGTCCTCTGCAACTTTTGTAGAGGTCATTTTTTGATAACGTTTGTTTTTACTAGGTTATGCGCGTAGTGGGATTAAAATGAAACACCTTGTATAACCACATGTGCATATTAAAATGTAAAATTAATGAAACAGTTTTACATGAACGGTTGCTGTATGGATTGGAAAGAGATGGGTAAAATCATTCAAGGATTTTTAGAATGATTCTTTTAATATAGTATTTGTAGAATAAAATGTATTTTTATCAATCAAAACTTTTTCTTCAATATCATGTCTCTTTTTATTACTTAATCCTTACCCATTAATTAATTGCTGAATATAATAGGAAAAAAAATAAAAAATCGATTGTTCTATTTATTTTATACATATAGTACTGCTCAATGACATTTCCCATCTTGCTGAGTAAAAATCTAATACTTTCAAGATTTATATCTCGATTTAAGGTAGTTTTGAGCCCTGTGGATACTTTTGGAGACGTGTTCGAGGGAGAATTGATTGTGAGAATGCGAGCGAATAGGGAGAATAAAATATTTATTGACTATACACTAAAATAAGGTGAGATTTGCTTGAATGACACGGGAGCAAGACTCGATGCGTGCGAGCGTGTCGAACATCTTGCTCAGACTTGGCGTCGATACAGTAGAGAGGCAACTCCGCGGCGTCAGTGCTTGCTTCCGACGGTGCTGCCGCGGAGCGGAGCCAGAGCGAGTCGGTTCTGTCCCCACAGGTACTCCCCCCTTAGAGAGCTTCGTGTCGAACGAAGGGAACGACACTTTTTTACGGAGTATCGTTGGCACAGCCTTGGATGGGAGAGGAGTCTGTGGCTTGGACGAGGCTGGAAGAAGTGGGCTCTGGCTCTGCTGCGATGAAAGAGCTCGAGGCACAAGCTGCTGCTGCTGCGATGAGAGGGCTTTCGGCTCGAGCTGCTGTTGGAACGATGAGTGAGATGGGCGAGCTTGGAGCTCGACGTCGGCCTGCGAGTACTGGTGCTGCTGTGAAGAGAGATCCTGCGGTTCGACGTTGGCGTGCAGCTGCTGCTGCTGCTGCTGCGAGTAAAGAGCTTGCGAGCCAAGCTGCTGCGAGTCCATCTCGATAAGCGGCCGAGCTTCAGGAGCGGCTGCTACTGGTGCTGGTGTTATTGGCGGCTTGGCAGTGGCGTGCGATGGAGTTGCTGGGGCCGACTGCATGGGCGGGCTGGTGTTGACCTGAGGCTCGAGCGCTGGAGTGGGCGATGCGTCAGCCGCCGGTGAGAGAAGACGGTCCTCCTCGTCTCGGTACGCTGGCTTGAGTGCGTCCATGGAAACGGTCTTTTCCTTTCCGTTGACCACGATGACGTAGACCTTGCTGTTGACTCGACGGCGGACTACGTGCGGCCCGGTGTAAGGCGGCTGCAGGGGCTTGCGCACTGCGTCGATGCGCATGTACACGTGTGTGCACGTCTTGAGGTCTGCGAACTCGAAGATGCTGGGCTTCGAGTGTAACGATGCTGGCACTGGGCGGATGCTCCGCATGAAGCTGGACAGCTGCTTGGCGAAAGTTGGCTGCTCTGCTGGCGCGCTGTGTGTGACGAAAAACTCCCCGGGCAGGCGGAGAGTGGTGCCATAGAGCATTTCGGCTGGCGATGCCTCGAGGTCCTGTTTGTAGCAAGCACGCAGACCAAGAAGCACGATGGGCAAGCGCTGCGGCCACGGCGTCTCACCAGCGCACATGAGCGCTGCTTTGATGGTGCGATGCAGGCGCTCAATCATTCCGTTGGACTGCGGGTGGTAGGGCGTCGTGTGGATGTGGTGTGCTCCGGTGAGGCGAGCCAGGGAGTCGAAGAGCGCCGACTCGAACTGCGTGCCTTGGTCCGAGGTGATGGTGATAGGGCAGCCGTAATGCGCAATCCAGTGTTGAACCAGGGCGTTTGCTACCGTGTCCGCTGTGATGTCCGCTAGCGGCACGGCGACAGGCCACCTGGTGAACCTGTCTATGATGGTGAAGCAGTACCGCCAGCTCTGGACCTGCGGCAGCGTGATGAGGTCGATGTTGATGTGCTCGAACCTGTTCTCTGGCACGTTGAATGACTGCAGTGCTGCGCGGTTGTGTCTGCTGACTTTGGCTCTCTGGCAGGGATCGCAAGCGCGAGCCCAGGCGTAGCCGTCATTCCTGACGTGGGGCCAGATGAATTTGGCTGAGAGAGCACGTGCCGTTGTGCGTGGGCTGGGGTGTGCTGGCCCGTGGAGCACATCAAAAGCCAGGCGGCGCAGCGGCTCCGGCAAGTATGGCTTTACCAGGTTGTCCTTGATGCTGCAGGCCACCTTGGCGCCGTCAATCTCCAAGACCTGTAGATCCAGCGCGCCGCTTTCGAGCAGGTGAATGAGCTCCTTGTCGTGCAACTGTGCAGCTTCGATGTCCTTGGCGAGGAGGCCCGATGGCATGCCAATGGTACACGCGCGGGAGAGCGTGTCAGCCACGACGTTGTCCACCCCGCTGATGTGCTGGACGTTGACGTTGAATTGGAGAATGTAGTCCATGTGTCGCTTCTGCCTCGGTGAGCTTCTGCTGGATGGCCTGCGACATGCGTGGACTAGCGGCTTGTGGTCAGTCCTGAGCACAAACTCGCGACCCTCTAAGTAGTGCTCAAAGTGCCTCACGGTCTCGTAGGCCCCGAGCAGCTCTCTGTCGAAGGTGCTGTAGTTTCTCTGCGCCGACGTGAGTTTCTTGGAGAAGAAACCAGCTGGGTAGTACTTGCCGTTGATGAGTTGTTCCACGGAGCCGGCAATCGCCTCGTCTGAAGCGTCGGAGGAGACAACGAGCTCGGCATCTGGAGCGAGGAAAGCGCTGAACGTGGCTTGTTTGAGCGCCTGCTTGCAAGCTGAGAGAGCTTTGTCCTGAGCTGTGGTCCAGCCCTTCAGCTTGGCCTTCTTCTTCTTGGGTGCGCCCCGTAGGAGATTGTCAAGAGGAACTTCCAGTTGAGCCGCTCCTCGGATGCAGTGCCTGTAGTAATTGAGAGCGCCGAAAAAGCTGCGAAGCTCCTGGTATGTCGTCGGCGTCGGGATGCGGTCAACTGCGTCGACCTTGGGCGGTGGCGGCTTGAACCCTTGCTGGCTCACTGTGAAACCCAAGAAGATGACCTCGGGCAGAGCGATCTGGCACTTGTCGAGGTTGATGCAGAGACCAGCTGAACGAAGCTTGTCGAAAAGCTGTCGCACGTGGCTCAGGTGCTCCTCGTAGTTCCTGGAGAAGACGATGATGTCGTCTATGTACCAGCGGCAAAACCAGAGGTCCTTGAGCAGACCGTCCAGGAAACGCTGAAACGTCTGCGTGGCGTTGTGTAGGCCAAGGGGCAGGACGAGGAAATCAATGAGGCCAAAGGGAGTTATGACGGCTGTCTTGCAGATGTCCTCCTCGGCCATTGGCACCTAGTAAAAAGCTCTTTTGAGATCGACTACCGTGAAGACCTTACCGCCGTGACAGCCATGAAGAAGGTGCTCGATGACTGGAAGAGGGTAGCGGTCTGGCTCGGTGATAGCGTTGAGGCGGCGGTAGTCGCCCGTGATGCGGAAGGTGCCGCTGCCGTCGTTCTTCTCCACTAAGTGCAGAGGACTGGCCCATTGACTAGAGGAGGGGCGGACGAGACCCGCGTCCATGAGCTCTTTGACGGCCGCTTTGGCGCCTTTGAGCCTGTCACCGAATAGTGGTCGTGGGCGCTCGAACACCGGTGGCTCCGTGGTGCGGATGAAGTGGGTGACGGGCGCTCCGTTGAGGGTTGCCTTCCGGCTGCTGGGCTTGGTGAGGTCCGCGTACTCGACGAGTAGCGCGTCGAAGAGGCTCCTAGTTGTCAGGTCCTCGGCAGGATCGTGCAGGATGGCAACGGTGTGGTGCGAGACGGCTGACAACTGACCTCGTGTGGCCAGCGCCGTGGTGGCGTCGATGAGACGCTGACTCTGGAGGTCCACCATGATGCCTGCGTGCGCCAGGAAATCAGCTCTGATGATGGCTCCTGGGATGTCAGCGATGATGAACGGCCACTCGAAGTCTCTGCGTAAGCCGATGTTGAGTGTGAGGAGAGTGCGACCAAACGTCGCAATGGGCGACATGTTGGCCGCGGTGAGTGTCAGCGGCTGCTGCACCAGTTGTGTGGCCTCTTTGACTACCGAACGGGGCAGTAGGGATACGACGGATCCCGAGTCGACCAGGAACGAGAGGCGAGAGTTCCTGTCGAAAACGTGAAGGCGGTTTTCTTTTGGCAGTCCGCTGCCGTGAGCCGCCTGAACTGTGGGCAGCGGTCCTAGTTTTTTAAGGCCTTGAGGTGGTCGCATGGCTTCTCGCATTTGAGTGCTCCATCTCCGAAGCGCTGATGGTAGTAGCAGTGGCCCTGTTGCGCTTGGGTAGCTGGAGTGCCAGCGCGCCCGCGGCTGCGGCTGCGTCCTCTGCCCTGGGACCTCTGCTGACTCAGCACTCTGATGGCCTCGTTGGTTTGTTCGGCTGTTGCCAAAAGGCGTGACATGAGGGCGGTCATGTTGGCCATCTCCTTAGCCATCGCATGGTCTTGGCGATGAGGAGAGCTGCTGCGAGAGTAGGCCTTGACAGCAGCAACGGCGGGTGTTGGTGCAATGTCGGCCAACTTGTCGGCTGCTTCCGCCAATTTGTCAAGTGCTCCGTCGAGCACGGTTAACACGCCCTGCGAGGACGCTGGCAGGAGGGCAAGCCACTTGACCTTGAGAGCCTCGTCAGTGACGCTCTTGCCTGCGAGTATGCGCATTTCGCGTAGAAGCTCTGAGGGCTTCTTGCCTTCTGGCTTGATGTCGTTGAGCAGTTTGCGTAGACGTTGCTCATTCGTTTGGGCGAAACGCTCGAGCATGCGTCTCTTCAACGTAGCGTACATGTCAGTGGCCGGCGGATTCTGCACCACGTCCAAGAGCTCGTTGACAGTGTCTTCGCCGAGTGCTGCGATGACCAGGTTGTAGCGCTTGAGGTCATCGTCCACGCCATGGGCTTGCAGGTTGGATTCTACTTGACCGAACCACGCTTCCGGCGCTGCTTTCCAGAACTGCGGGAGTTTGCATCTCGACGCGTTGGCGTTGAGCAACTGCTGCTGGATTTGCTGCACTTGTTGCAGCTGCAACGCGAGGGCCGCCGGATTGGAAGTGTCGTTGACCTCGGCTGGCGTAGGTGCGCTGGCCATGTTGCCAATCGGAGTGCTTACTGGTACTTTTTTTTCTTGCACGTCCCTTCCTTGTGTCGAGAGCACGCTTGATTCGGCACCCGCGAGCACTTTTTCAACGTTTCGTTCGGTTTTTTGTTTTCTGAGGTTAACTCCCGCACTCTCAGTCGCTGGCCTTTTTGTTGAATCGAGGGATTTTGCGTAGGCTCGCGTGATCGGCCTCGGTTGCACGCACGTACCTGTTGTCTCGGTCGCCACGACAGGTAGGGGCAGGCGCGAGCGCGAAATGTTTGAAGATGGCGGCGGCGTGGTCTGAGAGCCGGCTTTCCGCGCGATCACTTTGCCGAAAAAGAATCCGCTCGAATCACGTCGGGGTCACCACTTTGGAGACGTGTTCGAGGGAGAATTGATTGTGAGAATGCGAGCGAATAGAGAGAATAAAATATTTATTGACTATACACTAAAATAAGGTGAGATTTGCTTGAATGACACGGGAGCAAGACTCGATGCGTGCGAGCGTGTCGAACATCTTGCTCAGACTTGGCGTCGATACAGTAGAGAGGCAACTCCGCGGCGTCAGTGCTTGCTTCCGACGGTGCTGCCGCGGAGCGGAGCCAGAGCGAGTCGGTTCTGTCCCCACATACTCTTTTTATAGGATTTTTTAGTATCTATATAGTAGTATAAACTACATGTCTGTTTTTTCATTTTTTCCAAAACTATGACCTCAGAAGTAAAAAATGAAATTTATTTTTTTTTGTTAACTTTGAAGGGAAGTGATGGAAGATAAAACATATCTTTACTATTTGAAAGCTTATTCCAAACTAAACCCATCTCCTAGAAATTTTTTTTCATACAATTTTTCTAAAAAATAGAATAGAAAAATCTTTTTTTATCGTTTTATAAGCTTATAAATGGTTTTGGTTAACGAAGTGCAACAAATTTTTTCTTTAATTTTTTTGTAAACAGCATATTTTCCGAGATAAACCATTTGATTTATAACATATGTCCCTTAATGAAATACGATATAGCTCAAAAAAATCGAATAAAAAAAAATTGTTCGGACATGGGTTTTGTAGCATTTAGGGCAAGCTTTCAAATGGTAAAGACAAATTTTACCTTCCATCATTTCCCTTCTAATTATATGTAACGTTTGAATCTCTCCCATGTTATCAAAACAATAGTTCGGACTCTTTCTGTTGTATTCTTAATCGCGTTTCCGAGAGTAGCAAGAAGTTCACAAGTGTATATTCTAAATGAAATATGAAAATTTCTCGAGTACTGAACCCAAAGTTTTCTAACTCAATGAATCGTCTTGAAATGCAATTGAGCGTGATTGCATCTATCAGGGAGCGGCCCGACTACGCCGCAACCAATACTCAATTTAATTTCTCAACAATTATTATATGTGAGGTAGGGAGATATCTAAGGCTACTTTTTTCTCATAAGAGAGATAGTCTTATAAGTTGAGTACTTAGATATCGAAAGGAGAGGAATTAGCACGCTAACCACTGAATAAAGAAATTTATCTCAGGAAATTGCTGAGGCTTTATTTCTAAGCAATGCTCGCGCTGCTAAGCAAGGTAAGATAGTGAATCCTCTTGCCGCAGCGACGAGCGAATTTATACTTGCGAAATGGGCTCCTTTCTACGCTTGGTAGCCCCTGCAACGCTATTTTTGAAATTGATATAAACTTTGCATATATTTTATCGCAAAATGGCTCGATCAAAATTGCAATTTTATGATTTAAAAAATTAAATATGAAATAACGACTTTTTCAACATAAATCACTTCTCGAGGAAAAATCGCATTGTAGAGTTATAAGTTATACAATTCAATAATCAAATAACGTCAATTTTACAATAAATTTACGGAAATTTTTTACATAAAAAAATTGCTTGTAATTAGCGGAACGTTATTCAAATTAAAAATGATTAATATAGCTATCTAATTTTGAATAATAATTAAAAAACGAATTTGCAAATTTCTTTTTTAACCATTTAAAAATCAGCAAATTAGTAACAATCATAATCATTAATTTTATAAATATGTACAATCGACTCGCTATCTAATAATGCAATTTTAATTGTTTAAAAAAATTATAAATTTTTTATTTATTGATAAATTAGTGAATAATTAGTTACCAAAGTGTCAAATTCTTGCTTCTCTGATTCAATACGTCGCGGACGTAATCGCATATTCGAATTAACAATATGATTATTTATTGCAAAATAACTAAAAATATTAACTTGTAAATTAAATTAAACTAATAAATACCGACTTGAGACTTATAACGATATGAAATTCAGGATCAGCGCTTCAAAATTGACTAAAAAAGTGCTTTTGTTCATTCGAAAAACTTTATAATTGTCGATTTTGCATTGTAAACAATATATTTCTCATAGTCGTGACGTCACGCTCTTTATATGATAATATTTTCTCAGAGTTGTCCTAACACGTTTGGATATGCGTGCGAAAAGCGCCTTCGCTCAATTACCGCTTTTCTTTGATTGTCTCGTGCACGACGGGTTGCCATTTTGCAGAGGGAAAAAAGGGGCAAATCAGACTGGACCGTTACATATATCGGATCAAAGTTGACAAAAAAATTAATTTCATTTTTTACTTTTGACATCATAAATTTGGGAAAAGAAATTAAAAAACAGACATGTAGTTTACATTAGTTGATAGATACTAGAAAGCCCTACAAAATGAATACCCACAGGATTTTTTACAACTACCGTAATTCGAGATATAATACTTTAAAGTGTTAGATTTTTAATCAACAGGGTGGTAAATGTCATTGAGTGGTACTTAAAATGTGAGATTACGCTATGAATGCTGATTTAAAAACGCACGGACCTCGGATCATGTTAGCTGATCTCCCCACTGATCTGATGTCCCTCTGATCTGAGGCCTTCCTAATTTATCTACTTAAATTAGTCAATAATTTCATATCACTCCTAATTTTTTAACAGATCATGGGAAAAACTAATAAAGAGCGTGACTGTGGAAAATGGTATGTACAAATTTTTAAAGATATACAAAAACTTTAAAATTTAATATTTTGAAAAAAAAATCATCGCTGAAAAAATATATTGTGTATTTTTCCTCAAAAATACGCATAAAATTTTTTATTTTTAAAATTAATGCAACAATCCCAAAATATTTCTGCTGAAAAGCTCTTTTTTTCGTTTTTAGCATTTTTCAGGTAAATTCTATAAAAAAATTTAACCTCCGAATCTCTAAATTCCTTATAAGGATAAGCCACGATCAGTGCTGTAATTATCGATTATAATAACAGCCCTAGATGATTCAAGTTATCAATGTTAATCGTTTTTTGTAGAGTTATTCTGAAAGCTCTAAAAAGCACTTATGAAAAATAAATCGTAACTATTGAAGCCGAACGTGAAATTTTTATTTATAGTGGAATAAATACTGGAAAAGATAATGCCGTTTGGAGCTGTAGCATTTTCAAAACATATAACTTTTTACTAATAGTTAGTGGTGAATAAATAATAAGAAAACAAATAGGATAATGAAAAATTAATTTTCTTAATTAACAGCACCAACGTGAGAACAACCGATCTGGAAGACTAGACCTCACTATCTTTACGTGTTCGGGGTTGTTGAATCTGAGTCTGGGGTCAGCATATCAGAATTGGTTCATTTTCAAGGTCATTTTAAAGTCAAATAACGGCCTATGCTAGCTTCTCACACATATTACTGAAAAATTCGTCTCCTTTCTGCTATCTCTCTCTCTCTCTCTCCTCGCTTCTCTTCAACTACCGCCTACGCCCTCATTTACCGCTCGTTCTAGCGCTGCATCTCAACAAAGAAAAAGGCTAGCATGAGTGTGTGCTCTCAACACACACACTCGCAGCCTGACGCAGTGCGCGGACCTCGGCGATAGCCCGATAGCAAAACGACGATCATGCCGCGATTCTCCGTCACATTGTATTAACATTGTTGGATTAATGAATCATTTAAAAACGGGATGTTATAAATCTGAAGAGCAGAGGTTATTTATTGATTTGTCAATGATTATTTTAAAATCTATGTTACTCCATAATGCTAATATTTATGCTTCTATCTCTGTAGCTTATTCGGTAGTAATGAAAGAAGAGTACTGTAATATGAAAGTTCTGGAGAAGATTAAATATACAGAACACCAATGGCTAATTTCTGACTATCTGAAAATCATCATAATCAGGTTATACTAAATACCCCTGCTTTTTATGTAAATGAAATAGTAGAGACGATCCAATCATTACAAAATAAAAGTCTGTCTAGCTAGAGAAGCTTTCTAATCTGGTCTAAAAACGTAAAGAATGAACTAAGTTAAGCCATGAAAGGCTCTGCTTCCTCATCTTCATAAAATTAGGTCTCATGAAGCAATGGGTTTAAGCTCTGAATACAAAAGATGAATGCTTCCAATATTTACAAAAATTGTTTCCTAAAAAAAGTGATGGCGAATTGCGAGAGAGTTTTTGATGGACCCCAAATTCGTAAAATGTTTAGAAATAAAATTTTTGTCACTAAAATGAATCAAAAGATGAGAGTAGCTAGGATGAGATTCAAAGATGTTGTTTTAAATTTTTTAGAGAAATACAAAAGCGAAAATTACAATCGAATAGTAACGGAAATAGTAGTAAGTTTTGGAAAGCTAGGATATTTTATGAACCTCAAACTACATTTTTTGCATTCTCATTTAGAATATTTTGTAGAAAATTTGACTGATTGTATTGGTACAACGGTTTATAAAATTCAGTGCGTTATAGAGAGGAAATTATTATAAATAAGATTAGTTTTATCGATGCTATGCTTGATTTGCCACCAGATTTGTGCAATGTTACCTCGTGGCCCACGTAGAGAGTCGTGGATAGATGTACAAAAAATCGCGAATAATAAATACTAACGGAATTAGCACAGGAAAGGAACAAGAGTCAGGCGAGACAAAAGAATGCGTAATTAGTATAACTGCTTTATATAAATGAAATTATAAATAATAGAGAGAGAAAACAAGC